GGTAGTAGTAGCAGTAGTAGTAGTAGTAGTAATAGTAGTAGTAGTAGTAGTAGTAGTAGTAGTAGTAGTAGTAGTAGTAGTAGTAGTAGTAGCAGCAGCAGCAGCAGCAGCAGCCGCAGCAGCAGCAGCACACTGAACGTACGCGGAAACGCATGCTGCATCTTTTCAACGACATCAACTTCAGACACCTACTCTTAATCGGCAAGCACGACTAGTGGCATTCACTAGAGCTAAATATAATACTAGCTAACATACCAATATGTTTGTAATACTTTATACGTACAATACGTCCTTGTAATACAACCATGTTTGTACGGCTGTAGAATAATAATACACAAATGACATTTCCTTACTGCTACAGGAGTATAAACAGTGAAGAACAATTTTACCTGATGCGGCGCTAATCTGAACCAAGTGTCGACAATCATACGAAGACGTGTCTCGTGGAACTTATACGTTGTCTTGACGGACAGAAAAATATCATCTAAACGTGTAGATCTGCTTTCATTCTTCTGTTCCATCGCGACACGCGCGTCTGTAATCGTTTTAAGCGTAGATAGCACGCGAGAAACATGTTCATGTTTCTCCGTCGCTTCCTGTCCATATTTCTCGCTTAGAGGCTTCACATCTTCATCCGAGTGCAATTTACTTTGCGTTTGCTGGGTTTTGAATTGGTGGGAGATTGGAGAGAAAGCGCAGTCCGCCACCGAGCCATCTTTACACGGGGATGCTGGATCCACAGTTTGCAATTCGTTTGCCTCACTAAACTGAAGCAAATTTTCAGATAAGATCGTCCACAAAAATACAAGGAATACGATCAGAGTGGTTCCCCATAAAATCTTAGTTACTGAGAGCTTCGCTGTGCCGGTAAGCATGCTGCCAACGCGGAATCGTTAACGCAAGACTGCAGTACCTATCCGCGACAGCTCGACACAACCGGTAAGAAGCGTGGCTATCGTGTTTGCCTACACCCGCACCTGAACGCGCACCCGCACCCGCGTTTCGCACCCGCACCTGAACGCGCTTGTCCGCGAGCGTGACATAAGGCTCTAGTGAGCGCTGCCATTGGTTGATACAAATCACGTGCTTCAAACTCCTGTTTTATGGTCATTGAGCGACGAAACAAGCTCAACCAATAGCAGCGCTCACTAGAGCTCTATGTTCTTGATTGACCTAGGAAAAAAATCACGCTATCCGCGTCTAGCCTGTGCAACTTGCCGGTGTGAGATTGCACCGGTCTGAAGTTACCGTGGAGTTATCGTGTTATTTATACTTTAATGGAAAATTTCGTTTGAGAAAACGGTTAGTTAAAAGATTTGTTCATGAAAATATAGCCTTTTTATAGGTGTTTGACAACAACTTACAATAGTTTTGATCTGATCTCTTATTATTACAGTTACAGTTATGACTAGTTATACTAGTTACTTGTTATATAATAGATTAGAAACAGATAATGTATATCATAGAAAGTAGTAAGATAGTAATGTATCCAATTAGAAAGTAAACTGAGCAACTCAACTTTTAATTACAGCCACTTTATTACAGTCATAGTTACACAAATGATATTATGTTAGTATATAATATATTAGTAGATAATATTTCAAATTAGAGAGCAAACTGCAACTCAAATAAAATTCATATTCAAGCACAATTAATACTGTGTCGGCGTTCGGATGTTAATTGATCAAAGCAAGGATATACACAACAACACATGTATTGTGTATATCCTTGATCAGAGTGAGTTATGTGCGTGTGTCCCGTGTTCGGATGTTCGGAATTTACTGCATTCAACTTCGGAGATAGCCGAGTTCGTGCGTGACGTTCACTGACGTTATTTTTTGTTTTGATCTTTTTTTCTTTTTGTTTTGTTGGTTTGTTTTGTTTTGTTCCGCTTGTTTTGCATGTGTATAAACGAAAAAAAGATAACAGGATAAAAAAGGAGAACAATATAAGAATAATAAGAAAGAATAATTCAGGAATAAACAGAGAATAAACACATATGTTGTTATTTACTCCTGATAATGTGAATAGTTCAACTATCCCCCTCCTCCACTTCCCCCTGCTCACCCTCCCCCTCTTCCTCCTACTCCCACATCACCTAGCTTCTCCCTTCGATCTCCATTACCTTCTCACCTCTTGCTCATCTATCACTGTCTCCCCTCCTCCTCCTTCTCCTCTCCTTCTCTCACTTCTCCTGCCCCCTACTTCTCCTCCGAATCACGCTTCTTCCTCCTCCTCTGCCTTCATGCCATCCTTCCTTCGGATCCACCTCCTCCTCCTGCCCGGGCCTCCTGCCTCCTCCTTCTCTAACTACTCACCTTCTCCCCTCCTCCTCATCTCCATCGCCCTTCTCCCGCCTCCTCCCCTTTCCTCCTCCTGCCTTCCTCCTTTCTCCATACCTTCTTCCCTTCCTCTCTCACCTTTCCTTCCCCCCCTACTCCATCACCTTTTTCCCCTTTCCTCCTATATTCTCTCTGCCCCCTACTCCTCCTTCCTCCTTGCCCCTGCTGACTCCTCTCCTCCATGGCCTGTTTATTCGATCTCCGTCGCACTTCTCTCTCATCCTCTCTCGCTATCTCATTTCTCTCACCCTACTCCTCCTCCCATGACCTTCTTCATTTCCGATCTCTCGCATGAACCCTATGTCGCTCCTCCTGCTCTTCCCCTCTCCTCGCCTGCCCTCCTCCTCCTCGCTCCTCCCCCTGCCTCCTCCTCATCTCCAACTCTCTCTTCCTCTCTCCCTTTTACTCCAACACCTTCTCCCCTCCTCCAATCCTCCCTCTGCTCCCGCTCCATCTTCTGCACTCTCCCCTAGCATGCCAACACTTTTTCCCCTACCTCACGTGCACACGAAACGCAGCGGTAGTGCACGAGTTGTTCACGTGCAACTACATAACAGCGCTTTTCTAATAGCAACAATGTGGTCAGTCAATCTGTAAATGTTCAAGCAGCACAGCTTCGCATTCTGCCAACCACAACACATAGCAAATACACGTGACATCCTAATTCTATGACGTTCACGTGAAACTATCGCTATTAGACGCTGCCGCGGAGTGACCGTCCTGTTTACATTATGTTTGCTATGTGGAATTAAAGACCGCTAAAAATTCGAGACTGCTTCACTCGGCAGCAATTGATCTTGTGCGCCGGCCTGTTCAATTTGGCGCACGGATCAATAGTATTTNGCTCAGCGGGCAGGATCGACACCTCTCTGGCGACGCTTCTCTGGTATCCGGTCTTTCATCTGGATTTAGATTAGATTAGAGCTAGCTTTGGCTTCGTGCCTGCCTATAAACGCGCTTAATTATCCACGACGAGCCGATACAACAGCACTGATCTCATTATACTAACGTTAGTATATAGTTAACTATATATAACATGATAATAAAATAAACTATATAGTTAACTATATAGTTTATTTTATTATTATGTATATAGTATATACTATATATTAAATAACTATAGTGG